TATTAAAACAGTTAGATAAAAATAAAGATAAAAAGACAAAGAAGTATGAATGAGACAACATGTAAGACTCCTGGGACACCATTAAGAGACCAAACCTAGAATTCATGGGTGTAGAAGGGGAAAAGTTAAAGGCATGGGAAGCACACTCAATAAAATGATAGCAGAAAACTTCCAACACTGTGAGAAAGAGATGGTCATTCAAGTAGGGAGACTTTAGGTTACATACCAACATGATCAGCAAAAAACTATGCATTCTATTATAATTAAAACATGGAGTGTACACACCAAGGAAAGACTACTGAAAGCTACAAGAGAGAAGCACCAAGTCACATATAAAGAAAGACAAACACATCCATCAGAATAACAGCAGATTTCTCACAGAAATTCTAAAATCAAGGAAGACATGGAATAATGTACATCAATTCCTGAAAAAAAAATAAAAAACACTGTCAACTGAAATTATTGCTTCCAACAAAGGATGCATCCTTCATAGTTGAAAGAAAAATGAAAATCATCCCTAATAAACAAAACCTAAGCATTTCATGACCATAGAACCATCACTGCCCAAAATACTTAAAGGAATCCTACATACAGAAAAGAAGGTAAACATAACCATAAGCATTCAGGAAAAGATAAATCAAATTAGATAAGATAAGCAAATGAATATTAGAATGAACAAAAAAATGACAAGAGTTACTACAAACCTTTCAATAGTAACTCTGAGCATTAATGGCCTGACTTCTTTAATCAAAAGATACAAAAACAAAACAACAAAAACATCCATTTGTGGCCTATAAGAAATATACCTTGCTAACAAAAGCCCAAACAGGTTTAACATGACAGGATGAAAGAAGATATTCTAAGCAAATGGAGCCTGAAAGGAAGGAAGACAAAAGATCATTCAATATTGATAAAGGGAGCAATCTATCAAGAAAATATAGCAATTTTCATATGTTCATATAGCGTGAACATATGCACACTGAACAATGTTACACCCAATTTTATCAAACAAATATCACTGGATATAAAAAGTGCAGATAGATTTCAACACAGTAATACTGGGTACCTTATTACCCCTCTATCACAGTAGAAAGGTCATACAGACAAAAAATAATTTAAAATTTTCATATTTGAATGACACTGTAGATCAAATACAGCTATAGACAGCTACACAGTATTCCACCGAACAGCCATACAATATATATTATTCTCAGTAGCCTAAGGAACTTTTTCCAAAATAGATCCTATTTGAGAACATAAAGTCAGTTGTAACAAACACAAGAAAATTAAAATAATGTTCTGAATTTTATCAGAACACAATGGAATAAAACTAGAGATCAACAGCAAAAGAAACCACAGAAAATACTCAAACACCTAGAGAATGAGCAATTCCCCTTTGAATGATCAGTGGCTCATCAAAGAAATAAGTAGGGGCAATAAAATTCCTAGAATCACATGAAAATGAAAACACAACATATTGAAACCTTTGGGACAATGCAAAGGCAGTGCTAAGAGGAATTTCGTTGATGGACATAAAGAGACTAATTACTTGATGAACAAAGACACAAAAATTCTCAACAAAATACCAGTGAACCAAATTCAGCAATAATTTTTAAAGATCATGCACCATGATCAGTTGGTTTCATCCTAGTGATGCAAGGATGTTTCTGTTTATGCAAATCAATAAATATAATACAGCCTATAAACAGAAGGAACAGAAAGTCACATGATTTTCTCAAGAGACACAAAAAAGTCTTGGGAAAAATCAATATCCCTTGATGATAAGTTATGAAGGAATTAGGAATAAAAGGAACATACCTCAACAAAAGAAAGGGTATATATGATAAACCTATAGTCAAGATCAAAATGAGGAATGCGATAAAGATGTCCACTTTCTCCACTCTTTTTCAATATAGTGCTTGAGTTCTTATCCAGAGGAAAAGATCCAAATACAACAATTGTACTGACCAATCCCATGTGTGTGTGTGTGTGTGTGTGTGTGTGTGTGTAGTGGCTAAGATTATAAGGATGTGAGGCCACACCAGTTTAAGAAATACTACTTAAAACACCAGAGTTCTGTAAAAGCAATTGGTTTTACATGAACTAAATTCCAAATTGGCATACTTTAAAAACAGAGAATTTTCTATCACTTATCCCCTAGAGATATTTTCTTATTCTGTAATAAATCATTGGATAAAGCTTACTTAGGTGGGGAGTGCCTTGTAAGCAAAAGAAAACCCACAAAGAGTTGGTGACACATATTTTTATGACCAATTTGAAAAGACTAAAATGTGTGGCAGATACTTCTCTAAAGTATTTTTGATGATGTAGGACAGGAGAAGTAGACCAAGTCTATAAGGGAGGGGAGGGCTTTAAGGTTAAAAAGAGCACTGCATGGATGATGAAACTTTGATGAAATCATGAGGGATTAAGAATAGTTAATCCTTGTGAGATAACAAGAGCAAAGGTAAGTACTCATTCCCCAAGATACCAAGATAATTAGTATACCATTTAATACATTTTAATATTGAAGAAATAGAAATCTATCAACGAAATATCACACAAAACATTGGATCAGGATTTTTTTTTAGGTAGATACGGTCTCTTTAATTATGAGGAATTAATGCAAAACACTGGAGAAAAGATGATTTTTTTTCAAAAAATTGTCCTGAAATATTTATATACACAAAAAAAGTAAAGGGAAAATATAATCTGTTAAAATGATAATAAATCTCTTATTAGACTCATGGCAGAAAATGTTATTCAAAAAAAGAAAAAAATGAACATCTTGACTGTGTTGAAATTCCAAACTTTTGTTGTCAAAAGAAGAAATAGTAAAAGGGAAGCTATGAAATGAAAAAGTATATGTACAAAACATGCAACTAACAAATATTTCACATCTTAAATTTGCACCTATAATCAATAAAGAGCTTATATCAAGAGTATTTTCTAAGTGAAAGAAAGTGCGCAAACAACCTTGGTTATGATCATTTATTTTACATATATTAACACACTCATTATTGAGAAATTCTTTTCTCTAATTAGTTTTGCAATTGTTTTAAGTGCTAACAATTTTCTGAATGAAGAAACTTTTTTCTTAATATATGGAATTGTTATTCATTTCCATGAAATGTCATTTTCTAAAGTCCTATGACCTTTTAAATTCTATTGAAAAGGTAAAATTTGTATTTACTAGTTCCCAAGTCAGGGTTTGTTAAACTATTTGTCTATATATATACAGAAAATGTCACTGTTTAAACATAGCCAAGTTGATAAATAAATCATCATCTTATGGAATACATAAAAATGCTAATGTGCAATCACAAATATACATTTACTACCACACATTTCAGTGTCTGACAGTTGTCATCTTTTGTGTATCAACTCCATTCATCAGAACACAGCTGGGAAATACCCAAACCATTCCATCCCCAAACCAGAAGTATAATCAAGAATACCTAAAAAGCACTGTGGCAAGTTGACTTTCTTGCACTAATTAACATTTTAACAATTATTTAAGTATTCTGCATATGAAGAAACATGAAAATGTATATGTGTAATTGAAAATTGTTCTCCATTAAGTCAAATATTTTACTCATGTTGAATACATTATTATTATGAACTATTGGTAACATGATAAATTTGAAGGTTTTTGTATTCAGAAGTACAATTTTTAGAATTCAAATTATACCACACATGAAATAACATCACAATTACTTCAAGCCAACCTATTCCTGTTGAGACATTTGTTGGGAACAGAATATGCAAAAGTGATAGCTTTTGTAATGAATTTTGGTGGTACTGATAGGAAAGAGAAAAAAATGCCTTTCCTTTTTAAAGGTTGTAGTTTTTCCTAGCATGTTGACTACTTTGCACAACCAACTTTGATCCAGAAAACATAAATTTGTCTAAACATTTGCTAAAGTATTTCCTTGGTTATAAACACCAAAGTTTCTTCTTTCATGATATCAGTAGTTAGCAGAAACTCCAAAATATAAGAAAGTGTAGATAACATAATTTATTTTGACCTGCAAAGTCCATTGTAATATTATTCACAGTGCTTTTTAGTATAGATAAGCATTCTTAAAATGATGGAACTTTATGAAGTTAAAAAATCCAATAATTCATCTTTACAGAAATAAACCTGTAAGCACACATTAAATCCATCAAATGAATCTGAGTGCATTGGCACATACAAGCATTCCCAGCACTCAGGAGTCATTGAGAGGATTGAGAGTTCCAACCCAACCTGGGCTATAGAAAAAGACATTTTAAAAAAGTAATAACCCATGAAACAATTTAAAGACTTCTGATTTTTTAATCTGTAAAGAATATGAAGGAGATTCATGAATACAGAGACATATGAGAATGTTGCTGAATTTTGCTAGCTCTAAAATGGTTTCATTCCACATATAAATCTATGATTTAAAAAAATATTTTAGGAAGAGCATATTATTGCAAAGTGAACATTATTACATTGCTATATACAACACATCATTTTCCAAGGTGATGTCTAAACAGAAAGAAAAACAGACAAATAGCTAGAAGATAGAATATTTGAATTATAATCATAACCTCCTATTTATTCAACCCAGAAATTTTACCAGTATTTAAAACTTAATTCAGATTTTAAACATAAAACCAAGTATCAGGTATACAATTATCTTAATCTTCTAGAATATAAAAATTTAAATTTTATAGAAAATCTACTGCTTTATATCACTAAAAATGCACACATATTCATTTCTTGAAATATTAAAATACATATCAAATCTTTGGTATAGCTGGTTGACTCAAATATTAATAGTCTAATATTTTAAGAGTGATGAATTCTTCTAAAATGAAATTGTGCACAGTCAATTCTAGTATTTAGTCTTGCCTCTTCATGTGAACAATGATTGTTGAGAGTGCAGTGATTTATGAAAACATTGAAACTAAGCTTCATCAACTTCATGTAAATGTTGGTAAGTGATTCTGGCTGGTAGAAAATTGCACAATTACTAATGACTTGAAATTAACATAAAAAAATGTTTTATTTCTAAGGCCATTTTTGCAGCATTTTTTACCTCTTTATTCCTGAGACTGTAAATCATAGGGTTTAACTTGGGAATCACTAGTGTATAGAACACAGAAACCACTTTCTCTTGCTCTGCAGATTACTGGGAGCTTGGCTGAATGTAATTAAAACTTAATGTACCATAGAATATGGTCACTGGAGTCAGATGAGAGGCACAGGTGGAGAAGGCCTTCTGTCTGCCTGAAGCAGAGCGGATTCTCAAAATTGCAACAGCAATGAATATGTAGGAAATAGTTACAATCAAGAACGTGGCCATGGCAATGACTCCAGAGAAGATTAAAAGCAACAACTCATTCACGGAGGTATCAGAACAAGATAATTTTAGCAATGGTGGAGCATCACAGAAGAAATGACCCACAATATTAGGCCCACAAAAGGACAGTCTCCCCAAACTTACTGTGTGTGTCAGTGAGTTAATCATTCCACCTATGCATGACCCAATGACTAGCACTACACACTTTCTCTTAGATATGGCTGAATTGTAAAGCAAAGGGTTGACAATGGCCACATAACGGTCATAAGCCATCACTGAGAGCAAGAAGACTTCTGTGGTAATGAGCACTCCAAAAAACAAATGCTGCACTATGCAGCCAGAGAAAGAGATGGTTGCTCTTGCCACCAAGAAGTTGGTCAGCATTTTTGGTGCAATGACTGATGAATAGCAGGCATCCACAAGTGAAAGGCAGTTGAGGAAAAAGTACATGGGTATGTGAAGCTTTGCGGTGATTTGGATTAAGAGAATCATGCCCAGATTCCCTCCCAAGGTAACTGTGTAAATCACTAGGAATAACACAAAGAGCACAACCTTCAGATCAGTATGTTCTGTCAATCCCAAAAGAATAAACTCGGTAACAACTGTAAAATTTTCTTCAGCCATTGTTGTTCTTCAAATCTGAGGTGGAAAAGATAAGAAAGTAGGGCAGCTTCAGAAGAATCTGGTGCTTACTAAAATCAGATAGAAGCATGCATATACTTGTGTCCTTAGATGATAAAAAGTTCATTTTGCTGAACTTAAATATCCCCAGTTAAAATGCTAGGAACATTATTATATTGTCTCTTAATATTTTTGGTTATGGTTATGATTCAATCTATCAGAAAATATTTGAGAAAAACTTAGTCTCTCAAAGTTTCAATGTGTCCTTAATGTCTCTGCCTCTATTATAAAAGGTGAGGGGCTCCAATGAAATACACCATTGCTGATTGAAAGGAAGTTGTGAAATTAACTTTAAACTCTCCTTTGAAAACTTCATTTTAATATGAAAGGAGTTAATGGTAAGAAATGTAAAAGCAACTGTGCTGTTGACTCTGCAGTTAATCCAGAAATGTATTATTATGTGACCAGTGAATGATCAAATATTATGTGGCAAGAAGACTGATCTCAAATTATGTTACTCTTTAAAATGCAGCACTATTCACAATAGCCAAGTTATGGAAATAGCCAAGATGCCCCACTACTGACGAATGGATCAAGAAAATGTGGTATCTAACCTTAAAGCAACTGAGGCCAATAGGAAAAGGGGACCAGGAACTAGAGAAAAGGTTAGATTAAAAAGAATTAACCTAGAAGGTAACACCCACGCACAAGAAATCAATGTGAGTCAATGCCCTGTATAGCTATCCTTATCTCAACCAGCAAAACCCCTTGTTCCTTCCTATTATTGCTTATACTCTCTCTACAACAAAATTAGAGATAAGGGCAAAATAGTTTCTGCTGGGTATTGGGGGGGGAGCGGGAGGGAGTGGAGTGGGTGGTAAGGGAGGGGGTGGGGGCAGGGGGGAGAAATAAACCAAGCCTTGTATGCACATATGAATAATAAAAGAAAAATGAAAAAAAAAAAAAAAGAAAATGTGGTATCTATACACAATGGAATTTTATGCAGCCATGAAGAAGAACAAAATGTTATCATTTGCTGGTAAATGGGTGGAATTGGAGAACATCATTCTGAGTGAGTTAGCCTGGCCCAAAAGACTAAAAATCGTATGTTCTCCCTCATATGTGGACATTAGATCAAGGGCAAACACAACAAGGGGATTAGACTTTGAGCACATGATAAAAGCGAGAGCACACAAGGGAGGGGTGAGGATAGGTATGACACCTAAAAAATTAGCTAGCATTTGTTGCCCTTAATGCAGAGAAACTAAAGCAGATACCTTAAAAGCAACTGAGGCCAATAGGAAAAGGGGACCAGAAACTAGAGAAAAGGTGAGATCAAAAAGAATTAACCTAGAAGGTAACACACACACACAGGAAATTAATGTGAGTCAATTTCCTGTGTAGCTATCCTTATCTCAACTAGCAAAACCCCTTGGTCCTTCCTATTATTGCTTATACTCTCTCTTCAACAAAATTAGAGATAAGGGTAAAATAGTTTCTGCTGGGTACCGAGGGGGTGGTAGGGAGAGGGAGGGGGTGGAGTGAGTGGTCAGGGAGGGGGTGGGGGCAGGGGGGAGAAATGACCCAAACATTTTATGCACATATGAATAATAAAACAATTTTAAAAAAAATAAAGTGTTTCTTCTAAAATCTCATAATGGAGCTGGACACTCTGAGCACTCACACAGTTGTCTTGTTTTAATGTAGAAGTTTTAGAAGACTACATAGTTTATATGATGTTTAGAATAAATAAATTTTATATTTATTATTGTTCATGTTTTAGATAAATGCTTGTCTATGTAATGTACTTCATTATTTTTGTGATATGTATTTTGTATAGCATGTACATGCACACATAAAAATAAAACTTAAATGTGGATAACTACAATCAAATATTGGTCTTGAAAACTTTTTCATATCATTCACTTAATGCTAAATATTTGTGAGCATTTGTGGCCTTCTAAATTCAGTTTCCATTCCAAGTTTCAGTTGGTTAATACCTTTCATTCAAATATGAATCAATGTGCTTATAATTTAATACAACTCTCTCCTTTCTCTTTCTGCCTTTCTACCTCTGTCTCTCTCAGTCCAAAATATCATATAGTTAGTTAAGAGATTTGGCTTTAGAAATAAAGAAATAAAAATGATGACCAAATCAGTGTTACTAATTAATTTTACTCAATAAACTTCAATTGTCACAAAGGGAAATTGGGGCATTTCCCCAATTTTGGATTGTAAAATGCTGCTCTCACTTTTTAAATGTTGTTTTGGGAGATTAATTTTTTTCTTTCAGCTTTGTTATAATTATACATGCATTACATGATTTTAAATAAATAGGAGATACTGCATGCAAAACATTAAGAGTTTCTCTCAATGTGTAAAAAGTCCTCAATTTATAGACAGGTAATACAGATAGATGATAGCTAGATAGATGTATCAATAGGTAGATATATAGATAGATAAATAGATAGATGATAGATAGATAAGTAGGTGGTTGGGCAACATATTAATAGTAAAACTACAGGAGGAATTTTTTGCAGGAAAGTTGATAGTATAGACTGGCATATACCATGCAAAAGTTTTTAATCAGCAAATTGCATTCCTCCAATTTTAAATGTGTAATTTATATGAAATGTTAATTCAATGGAAGTGTAAATGGGTGCTTTATTATTTCCTATGATAAATTTTTAGCCCATACATTTTCATGATCTCTTATGCTGCTTAGAAACCACAAGATTATTTAGAAAAATACAAAAGTAACTTCAACAAATAATGCTAAACCTCAGCATTCAAACTGAGCACATTATTCCACCACATCTAAACTGTACAATAAATAGATAATAACTACATGCAAATATCTAGATAGAAATTTACATTAATTTAGTAAACATTATTTTTTAGTGTTGGAATTAGTCCCAATAGGCATATAAGACTTGTGTCTGTTCTCTCTGACAGTACAGATTACAGTACACCTCCATCATTGTTGATAGTTGTATAAATTAGAGCTCTCTTCTACCACTCTGTTTCATCCTTTTTAGATAATCAATTATATAATATCTTCTCAATATTATTCATCTGCTAATCCACTATAAGTAGTAGATAATTATATGTGTACTATTTATCTACTATACATAGTTTTAATTGCCAAGCAGAACTAAGAAGTGGAGATTCCAGGTACAATTTAAAAATTCAGTTTTATTGCTAATTCCTGGAATGCCCATCCTCTGTAATTTAATGGGGCATGGCAAACAGAATTGAATGATAATGTACACAATTGAACTAAGTGATTTCTAGTATTCTCAATTATCATATGATTCTATCAGATTGACATTTCTAAATAAGACACTGAACATGAAGTAATTCAAATGAAGAAGGAAAATATTTGCAAAATATGTATAGTTATCAAAAGAAAATATTTTAAAATTTCCAATTTAGAAATTTCATGCCCTTCTTTTTTTTTTCTTTTTTTCTTTTATTATTCACATGTGCATACAGGCTTGGTTCATTTCTCCCCCCTACCCCCACCCCCTCCCTTACCACCCACTCCGCCCCCTCCCTCTCCCCCCCCAATACCCAGCAGAAACTATTTTGCCCTTATTTCTAATTTTGTTGTAGAGAGAGTATAAGCAATAACAGGAAGGGACAAGGGTTTTTGCTGGTTGAGAATTCATGCCCTTCTGTATAGTTCCTTACCTTTCATTAAGATCAGTTTCAGTTAATAATAATATGGTATTCAGAGTTACTAAATGTTTTTAAAGTATATAACTTAAAATAACTGCAGGTAAAATAATTAGTGGTAATATTAAAAATTCATTCATGACAATCACAGAAAATAAACAAATAAATAAAATCTTAACATATTTTTCCTACAAAAGGACAAATTAGGATAGAATATCATATATAGCTTTTGTCAACCTCTAATGAACCTTTTCACAGCTTCAGCATTACATGGAGTACCAAATGAAATCATAGAAAATACTCTCTTTCTTAAGGGACTTTTGAATTTCCCATGAGTTATTCAAATCCCCAAAGTGTACAATTAACTAAAAACTATGAATGAACACTTGAAAATATCAAAGAAAATATGGGGCATTCTTGAATTCAGTAAAATATATACAAACCATAATTGAGTACAATTATCTCACAACTATACATCACCTGGTTGATAAATGGTTAGTTATTACTTGTCTAATTACAAGATATACTTTTGTGCAGATGTGCAAGTTAAAAGTCTTATTTAGAAACAATGCAAAATATACACACATGTGCACATAAACAAATTTCCAATATCTAGGTTACTGATCTCCCCATTGAGTTTTCAATCTCTTTTGTTTTAGTTTAAAATGTAGTATAAACTTGGAAGAAGATGATCAAAGTAATACTTGACAATGTTATGGAACAGGCATTTTGTCACACATTAGAAATAAAGCACCTATCAAAAATGATTGATACTAAACAGTGCTCAAACTCTTAGCAAGAGGATGAGAAAAAAAGTTGAATTATCCTTTTTCATGGATAATATGACCCTATGCTTAAAAGACCCTAAAGATTCCAGCATAAGAGTTGTAGAGCTGATAAACACTTCCAACAAAGTAATAGGAGTCAAAATCAACAAACAGTATTTAGTTGCTCTTCTAAACACCAATAATGAACTCATAGAAAAGAAGTCAGAAAAACAATACTATTCATAATAGCCTTTATACCTAAGCATAAATTTAACCATAGCTATATAAGGAACTCTCAAGGAAAAATACAAAGTCCTGTAGAAAGAACTTGCAGAATACTCTAGAAGATGGAAGTTCACTCATGTTCATGGATTGGTAAGGTTAGTATTGTTAAAATGACCGTATTATCAAAACTTATCTACAGACTCAATGGGATCCCCATCTAAATTCCAATGATATTCATTACAGATACAAAAAAATCTTAAAATTCATTTTGATGCACAAAAGTTCCTGAATATTCAAAGCCACCTTCATCAAAAAAAAAAAAAGGAATATGGA